ATGGAGGGGTGGGGAAGGGGACATATGTAATACTTTCAACAAAAAAGATATATAGATGTATTTTTAATTCTTACCCAAGATATTTTTCCATTGCTTTTCAAAGAGAGAGGAAGGCGGGGGGAGAGAGAGAGAGACATCAATGTGAGAGATCTTCACATTTTAATGAATATTAAAAACTTTCAAGCAACATCTATTGGTTGCTTCCGGGATACGCCCCCACTAGGGCCTGGGATGGAGCCTGCACCCGAGGTACATGCCCTGGCCAGAATCAAACTCAGGATCCTTCAGTCCATAGGCCGACACTCTAACCACTGAGCAAGACTGGCTAGTCAATGCATTTTTATATTTTACATATAAAAAATATTTATAAGAGTGCTAAGAAAAAAGAGTAAGCCTTCAGTGCTTGTGTACTCCTGGGTGGTTAATACTTAACTGCATATGTATTAGTCCAATGTTTTACCACTTCTTGGGATCGGAGATGCATTTCTTTCTTTTCCTTTCTTTCTGCACGAAGGCTTGCTGCTTTTCTTGTCAAACTGTCAAGGCTACCTCGAATCCTTTCCCACTCATTGTGTGGAATTATGGTGACCTCCTGGAGATCTGCTTTGCTAGGTAGAAGAGGTGGACAGAGAACTTGATCTTCTTTAGAGTTCTTTATTTCCGGGCCTTCCTTCGCCTGTCCCCTGCGCTTCCCCAACCGCACCAGCNTAATAAAGTTTAAAAAATGAATATTAAAAACTTTCAAGAAGAGTGTGTGATATTTTTCTCAGACATGTCTATATTGGCATGATATCTAAAAGTTCTTTCAAATAATAATTTTATTCTTGTTATCTTAAGAACAGCTGGGATTAAGTGGAAAGTATACAAAACCTTTAAAAAAAAAAAAAGAAAGAAAGAAAGTATACAAAACCTTAAAATCAGAAGACACAGATTTGAGTCCTTGCTTGGTCATTTCCTTACTGTGTAAACTTGGGCAAATCATTTAACTTCTTGGAGGCTTAGTATCAACATCTTTAAAGTTGAGAGCAATAATACCTATTCCAACGGGTGTTATAAAAACATTTTTCAAAGTTAACCAAGTAGTAGTTTATAAATGGGTAACTTTGGAAATGTTCATCTATTGGGGTTGTAGACATTGTAATCGACTCCATTCAACCCCTTCTAATTGAGTACCAGCAATGTAACTTGGAGAACTGACTACTGTTCTTAGGGTGGGCCTCATTAATTAAGGATACTTGCATCTCCCTTTCCAATAATTATTTCTGTAAAAAACATAAATAGAAGAGATTTATTTGAGACTTTTAGAAAAGTCCTTCCTTGTTCTTCCGGTAAAGCCATCTGAGAGTGACTCTCAAGTTAGATATGAACAGGGACGCATGAAGGCCTGATAGGTACCCATCCAATGACCACAAGAGGAAGCAGCCTTATCGGAGGCTGTTGCTGTGAAGCGCCAAGAGGAAACAAAGGAGGCACCGGGGGCAACGAGAATCTCCTTATCCTGCCAGGTCGATCAGATCAATCAGACCTAGTGAGCTCTGAGTCAGGTCAACGCCAGACTCTTGCAGCTGCGACCGCGCAGGTCAACTGGGTCACCCTAATTCTTATTTTTTCTCTACCTCTGTTTATGTAAACTTTTACCACCCAACAATTCGCCGGAGGGCAAAACTGTCCAGTTTACATAGAACCCAACGCTGCTTTTGACTTGGTGGCGTCCACTTCACTTGGACTAGGCGCCCTCGCTTGGCACCCTCGCCTCTCACCCCGTGCCTGGGGGTCAGACACAATCCCCACGCCGGCCGGCATGGGCCGGTTTAGCTCACCCGGGCCTTCCTTCGCCTGTCCCCTGCGCCTCCCCAACCGCACCAGCGTCTCTGAAGAGGTGCCCATGGCGCTCTGAGGCTTGGGATAGCGATTCCGACGCGGAGCGCTGCAGCCTCCAGCCCGCTGAGTGTTTGACTCGCCGCGCAGTTGCTTAGCAACGCGCCGGAAGTGACGTCGACTGCCTCCGAGGAACGGAGAGCGCGCAGCGGTTGGCGGCGAAGCTGGAGGGCGTAGGCTGCGCCTGCGCGGACAGCCGAAGCCCGTGTGGGAGCGGGGCGTCCCGGCGGACTGGCGCCCGGACACTGTGCGGAAGCGGGGCGGAGGCCACGACTCCTGGCCTGGGCCAGCGAGGAGATCTGGGGACCCGGCCCGGCCTGGGGCTCCCATGCGCATCCGTCACGGACCTCCGCGGGACGACCCCAGCCAGGTCCCCGCGCCTGCCTTCCGGGCGGACCCGGCAGGTGCGTGGAAGAGCCGGGCCTGCGCTCGGTGTGGGCGGCGCGCGGATTTCCTCGCGCGTGGACGGTGAAGGGCAGAGCTCTCCCTTAGCAACAGAAACCCAGGGATTAATGGGCAGAAAATCGATTTTTAAATACTTTCGTTTCTAAGGCATGATCTGGGCTAGATGGGGCTTAGTTTTTTAAGTATAAGAATGTTGAAACTTGGATGCTGTCTCAGAACATTCGTATTAGGACCTCCAATATATTTTAAATTGCTTGGTAAATACGGTAAATTGAATGCATTTGAGGACTAATCAGACCTCTAAGGACACCAAAATCTATTAAGAGTGGATGCTGGCTTGGTTTCAAACGATATTTTCTAACACATCGAGGTATAAATGATTTCGTTATAAGCTAGTTGGCTACAATACGTACTTTCTAGGCACCAAACCGGAGTCATTCGGGAAGGAAGGAGGTAACATTTTTAATCACTAAAGTTCTAACACATAGTTGTACTATTTTTCTTCAGGTTTTCTATCAGATGTTCCACTGTAATAATGCTGGTAAGTATGGAAGGATTAATAAAATATTGTTGACAAAAATTAGCTTTTGCACATACAATATTGGTGGGTGTTTTTTTTGTTTGTTTTTTGGAAGCACAGTTTTTAAAATGCCAAGAACTGGGAAAGAGATTTTACCCTACTTGCATGCTAACAACTTAGCTTGCCACAGTTTTGTAGAAGATGCAGACCCCCTAGGTTAGAGGTGAATTACAGCAGTAGCAATAGTCAGAATATCAACAGTTTTACCCCAGTCTCAACATAGTCAGAAGTCACATGCACATGGAGTTAGGCTAAGGAACCCAAATCTTTATTATAATGAACAATAAACATTTCAAGACTACATGTCTTATTTAACTGTCCCCAATTCTTGGATGTCTGTGCTGTTTCTAGTTTCCATTATTATTAAAAGCACATAGGTTATTGATAGACTGTAGAAGCATTACAGATAACAGAATATATGCTGCTCCTGCTTTTGTAGAGAAAGTTAATAACTATTTTGGGAATTTTGACAAATTGGTTACAAAATAGATTCACATTCTTAAAACTGAATCTTTGTGCACATCCTTAATTTTTTGAGACGTCAACTATGCAAAATCTTTTCACGTTTATTGACAACAGAATGTGGTAATTGTCTGTTTTACTAATCTCACAAGTAAAAAGAAAAAAATGGAATTTGTATTCTCAACATAATCAGCCTAACACGTGATTTTATCCACCAGATAAAAACTTATATGTATGTAACATTCCCTGTTTTGTATTTAAGGTTTTTGTTTAATCAAAAATTTGTTTTTCCTGTTGCCAATAGCTGCTTTTCTGATGTAAGAGAAAATAGCATCATTAGAAAACCTAAGCTTAAAAATATCTTAAACTTTTATTAATTTTAGGAGTTAAGAAGTCTCTGTTCCTTTGCTCCAAACCAGAAGACTTTGTTCCCTGCATATAGAGTAGGAGTAATGTTGGTTAGAAACAGGCTGGTGTTTAAAACTGAAGATTGCCATGACTATTTAACCAAAGCTCTTTGCTGAAGTAAGATTGTCTTAGAAATACTAAATTGGGTAAGTATTTTTAATAAAGGTTTATGTTGAGTGGTGAGAAAAACTAATATAAAAAGATATGAAATTAAGAAAAGTTCACTTATAGATAGAAATTAATAGTCAGCAGTGAAACTATATTAACATATAGTTATATATATGAGATATATATGTCAGACTTATGGCATCTTATTATTTTTACATTAATGGTTCTGGAATTTTAGTAACTTGTAGCTAATTTGAGGCAGTTTTTAACCAACAATGAGTTACATTTGAAAAAAATTTAAATTCAGAATGCTTAAAAATAATGTTTAATTTAAAATATGCCTAGGTACAGTCCTAATGTGATTGTCAACTATGCCTTATTGCAATTTATTACATTATTTCTATGGGAAAGTGAATTCTGCTCTTAAACCTCTGGGAGCCAGTCAGAGACACCTGGATTAAGCATTTAGAGATACAAGGATACAGAGTCTCAGGATATTACAGAGTGGGGCAAAAGTAGGTATATACAGTTTATTATTGTATTGTTATTTATTGTATTATTTTCCATAGGAACAACTGTAAACCTACTTTTACCCCACCCTGTATATATTTAAATTCACACAATAGGAGATACCCCTCTAGATTAATTATTCTCCAGATATTCTAAATTAAGAGACACTAAATACTTACTTTTATATGGGTAATAAGCTCTACCCTCAGTTTCACCTGCTGGCTATCGTTATAAACCAGACAATGCATGTGGTTAAATGCCATGTTTTCCTTTCTTAAATTTAATTCAGTTTATTGGAGTAACATTGGTTAATGACATGTTTTACATTTTTAATCTCTTCTTTCTCTTATTTGTGGGGTTCTTCACTTTTCTTTTTAGAATTTCTTGCTAAAACTTCAGAATGGTTATGAAGTAGATCACAGATACAGTATTATAGTTAGTGTGTACTCTAACGGATGTTTTCATGTAATTAAACATTTTTTCATCAAAGTGACCTTAGTATTCAGTCTTCAAATATTCTATTTCTTAGACACTAGAGTGTGGTACTTAAAAGCATGAATTTTGAAGTCAAGCAGACCTGAGTCCAAATTCCAGCTCTTCCATTTAACTAATACTTAACCAACCTAATACTTAAGCACTAGTTTACATATCTTTAAGATGAGGATGATAATTCCTACTTAATAGGATTATGATAGTTAAGTGAGATAATTATAAAGTTCTTCGTTTAGTGCCTAGTATATAGTGATCTCTCTAAAAATATTACTGTTTTATAAAAAAAAATTGTCTATACATACTAATTATAGCTTTTATTTGGGTAATCTATAGTTACTTATCATTTTTACATGATAATTTTCATTCATACCTTCTGTTGACCAACTTATTCTTTCCTTTTCTCTTGAAATTTATAATGAATAACCTTCATTATCTTTTAAAGTAAAAAGATTTAAATAATTGTCGTATCATAAGTAATGTGATTACTCAAGTATATCCTGATTATTTAGCACTCCACAGCTAAACTGTTTAGAGAAAATACAAATAAAGATAAAGCTCTGGCCAGTATGGCTTGGCTGTTTAGAGTGTAGACCCACACACCAAAAGGTTGCAGGTTCGATTCCCAGTCAGGGCACATATAGAAGGCAACCAATTGATGTTTCTTTCTCTCCCTCTCCCTCCCCCCTTCCCTTCTCTCTAAAAATAAATAAATAAATGTAAAAATTGTTAACTAAAGTTATTACTAGTCTAGAAGAACTGACCTGACCTCCACTTCAAGTAATTTGTTTAGAATTTCAAGTACAGCGTCAGGCAACCATTTAGTTATAACATTGGCATTCATATTAGAAATTGATTTCAAGCTAAGCACTTTTTAAAAAATTATTTAAAGTTTGCATGATTTCATGTTATTTTAAATTAGGTCTGAATTTTGGTTAGTACACAGAGACCTGTTGTTTAATATATGAAGATGACTGTAAATATTTTAGACTAGTAAGTTTGGCTGTAATGATAAAAACAATAAGAATGGTTAGCATACATTTTTTTCTGTATTATTTTAAAACTTTTCTAAATTAGACTTAAGAGAATAATTGTTTCAGTACTTCTCTCAATAGCTTAATTCTAAATGCTCAAGGATTAATCCCTTTAGGACCACAATAATAGCGTGGATATCCTTTTAAGATATTCTGTTTTCTATTCACTTAAAATACTCAAATATGAACTTTGCTTCTTAAGAAAAAATGCTTAAATGGTGGTCCTAAAATGCTTAATTATTTTAATTTGTTTGTATTCATCCTATATTTGAGCAGATTAACAGCAATGTTTGTAAAATAAGAGCTAGATATATAAACAGAGTGTTTAGGGAATAATATTTCTTCTTTTTCAGGGTAACCCAAATCTGTTTTAGAACCATGAAAATTTTGCTGGTTTTTGACTTTGACAATACAATCATAGATGACAATAGTGACACCTGGATTGTACAGTGTGCTCCAGAGAAAAAACTTCCTATTGAACTACAAGATTCCTATAAAAAAGGATTTTGGACAGAATTTATGGGCAGAGTCTTTAAGTATTTGGGAGATGAAGGTGTAAGAGAAGATGAAATGAAAAGAACAGTGACATCAATGCCTTTCACTCCAGGGATGGTGGAGCTTTTAAACTTTATAAGAAAGAACAAGGATAAGTTTGATTGCATTATCATTTCAGATTCAAATTCTGTCTTCATTGATTGGGTTTTAGAAGCTACCAGTTTTCATGATGTGTTTGATAAAGTGTTTACAAATCCAGCAGCTTTTGATGGCAGTGGCCATCTTACTGTGGAAAATTATCATGCTCATTCTTGCAATAGGTGCCCCAGAAATCTTTGCAAAAATGTAGTTTTGGTAGAATTTATAGATAAACAGTTACAACAGGGAGTGAATTATACACAAATTGTTTATATTGGTGATGGTGGAAATGATCTTTGCCCAATAACCTTTTTAAAGAAAAATGATGTTGCCATGCCACGGAAAGGATATACTTTACAGAAAACTCTTTCCAGAATGTCTCAAAATCTTGAGCCTATGGAATCTTGTGTTGTAGTTTGGTCTTCAGGTGTTGAAATAATTTCTCATTTACAGTTTCTAATAAAGAAGTAATATGCCAACAATGAAATGTGTATCAGTTAAAATTAGGTACAGCAGCATAAAACTAAAACCCCAAATACCAGTGGCTAAAAAAAAATTTTCCCCCCCTCTCACTTAAAAGAATTCCAGAGGTAAGTATCTTTCAAGGCTGCTGTGTTGCTCTACCAACTTGAGCACTTGGCTACTAACTCATGATACAAGGTTGTTGTTCAAGCTCCAACCCTCACATCAATGTTTTGGCCAGCAAGAAGGAAAGCAGTGAGTTGCACCTCTTATTTAAATTGCATTGGCCAGCCCTGGCTGGTGTGACTCAGTGGTTAGAGCATCAGGCTGTGCACCAAAGGGTCAAGGGTTCAATTCCGTACCTGGGTTGCAGGTTCATTCCCTGGGGGCGCATGCAGGAGGCAACCAATCAATGTGTCTCTGTCACATTGATGTTTCTCTCCCCTCCCCCGGCCTCCCTCCCTTCCACTCCATCTAAAAGAAATGGAAAAAATATTCTCGGGTGAGGATTAAAAATTATATATATATAAAATTGCATTGGCCAAAACTTAGTCACAATGCCCTCACCTAATTGCAAGGAAGGATGAGAAATACATTGTTTATTTTAGATAGTCATATGGCTGGGAAAATTTGGAAAAAAGGAGTACAGAATTAAGGTAAGTGCAACTAGTGGTTTCTACCAAAGGTGATTAATAGATTATATTATTTTTATTCTCAGAGAGAATAGTCATATATTTTACTTTCTTAGATATTTATTTCAAAAGCATGTCCAGTATTTACAAATCTTAAAAATAAGCCTGATGCTTTATTCACGTAAGCCCAAATATATATAATGTTCTGTTCCCAAATCAGTGTACTTTAAAGATAGGGATGCAATATCTGTTACCCAAGTTTTCATCAATTTCAGGCTTTCCTTTTAAAATTAAATACAAATTAACGTTCCTCAAATAATTTTATATCAGAATCACAACTATAACTCAAGTATACAGTTTAATCAGTGTATTATTCATACTTGTGCAGTCTTGAGTGATAATTTGTAGGAATAGTGAACATTTAAGTTGCTGTTTCATATAGGGATATTAGCAGAATATAAGGGATGTAAAATTTGATAATTTCATGCTAATTTCTAGACGTTCATGTTTTAGGCATATATAGCCATTATGTAATAATATTCGGATTTTCTTTTCCATTATGGAAAGCTCCAGAAATAGAAATGCTCAATGTAATTTCATGGGGAAAATTTGGTACTTTTTAATTTGCTTTTTTTTAGGTTGAAAAAGTAAAATTTTAGATTAATAGGTTAGATTATGTTTAAACTCATTTACTGTTATAGATTATCATTTCTCTACATGTCAAGGCCAGTAACAAATTACAAATTATGGGAGTAAAAAAAAAAAGGCTTTCATTTATTGTAATTTGGACCACATTTTCTAATGAGCACATCTAGAAAAGCTGATAGCTAAACAAAAGTTTTAAAATGTCTGCTTAAAGACATGAGAGAGCTGACAACAATAGACAATTGTTACCAAACACAGAAACCCAAGTAGGTGAGCTGCTTTTTCCTAGAAGTGTTGGCTAATTATGTAATTGGTGTCTGAGATGCTGAGTAGTTATCTTGACAATCTCATGGTAACGGGAAGAGGCCTGCAATGATAAACCTTTCCCCTTACTTTGAATAAGAATCCCAAAAGGAGTAAGAATTATTGAAGAGGGGAAAGAATGACCTAGAATTAAGCACTTGCACAGGGATAGCACCTCAGCTTTGAATACTCTCAGTACCTGAAATTGGATTGAGGTTATCTAAGATTTTTTGAGTTCCCAGGTGCTTGGCAGAAACAAATATAAATTCTCTCAAAAGGAAGTTAACATGCTTGGTATATGGGCAGACTCTAAAGTGGCCCCCCATGATCCCTGTAACCTGGTATGCCTTGTTTGTGTGTGGAGCAGGGGAAATATGACTTGCTTCTAATCAATATGGTGCCACAAAGATGACGGGATCTGTGTGATTATGTGTACATGATTACATTGTATTCTAATACCCATCTTACTGAACCCTCCCTTGCTGATTTTGAAGCTAGCTGCCATGTTATGAACTGGCCTTTAGAGAGGGCCACGTGACACACAACTGAGGGTGGCTTCTGGCCAACAGTTAGCAAGAAGTAGGCCCTTAGTCCAGCAGTCTGCAAGAAACTAAATGCTCTAACCACGTGAGCTTGAAAGCGGATCTTTTCCCAGTGGACCCATAGCTGAGATCACAGCTTAGGCTGACACCTTGATTGCAGCCTTGTGAGATCCTGAAACAGAGTCCCCAGCTGAGCTGTGTGCTTGGACTCCTCACCCACTGGACCTACGAGGTAAAAAATGTGTATTGCTTTAACACACTAAGTTTGTGGTAATACTGTTATGTAGCAATAGAAAGTTAATGCAGTAGGCCTCAAGTCTATAAACAATTTTGCAAGTACACTGTAGGATACACAATAAAAAGCCACAGCAAGAAACACCAGCAGAAGCTTCCATTTAAACATCTGCAGCACAGCCAGATATTGGAGTTTTCAGACACAAGCTTAGGAGAGTTTGGGCAAGAATTGAAAAATATTTAAAAACAGATACTAAAGCTGAAAATTACTGTGACTGAAATTAGAATCTTGATGGATGGATTTGACAACAGAAAAAGCATAGCTGAAGAGAGAATTAGTGAATGAACACGTTAGGAGAAAATATCCAGAATGATGCAGACAAACAAAACAATGAAAAAACAGTCAAACTGTGATTCTTAAAACGTCTCCCATCTTTTTTTTTTTTCTTAATCCTCACCTGAGGATATTTTTTCCATTGCTTTTCAGAGAGAGTGGAAGGGAGAGAGAGGGAAACCTCAAATTTGAGAGAGAGACATCGATTGGTTGCCTCCTGCACGTCCCCTGATGGGACCAGGGATCAGGCCTGCAATCCAGGTGCATGCCCTTGGCAGAAATCAAAGCTGGGACCCTTCAGTCGGGAGACTGATGCTCGAACCACTGAGTCAAACCAGCTAGGGCATCCCATCTTGAACAGTTCCATTCTCAACCAAGTTGTTCAAGGAAAAAATGCCTTGGTTGTTGACCAAAACTTGAGTTTTCAACCTGAAAACCCTTTCATGCAGATACCTCAGCATGACAAAAAATAAAAATACCTCAGCATGACAAAAAAAGCATCTCTCAGGCAACAAAGAAGAGAATGCTTTTGTTGCTGGAGAAACTGACAATTAGCACAATTTTAAAACATAAAGAAGCCATCAAGAGTGCTAATGTTGCTAAGGGTGTGAACGTGCTCACAAAACAATCACTGGCAACTGAAGAGGTAGAAAAATTGTTGTTTTGGATAAATAATTAGTTAGCCGGTGATAGCATTTCGGAGGCAGTGATATATGAAAATTTTGTTTAAGGCTAGTAGGGGGTGGTTCAGTAAATTTAAGAAAAGTGTTTATACATAGATTAAACAGTGCATTAGACATGTATATAAGAAAGATTAAAACGGGGAATCATTTGTGGGTCTGGAATGAATTAATTCAATTTACATTATTTCTAATGGGAAAAAATTTCAGATTTTGAACAAATTGCTTTTTGAACAGCCTCCTGGAATGAATTAAGTTCGAGAACCAAGGTTTCACTGTACAGAAGAGAGGTTAAGAGACATAGAAAATATAGTAAGATGTAACACAGGAAATCAGTGTCTAGAAAGAAAATAAGCAATATTTTAAGAGATAACAACTGGAAACTTCACAAAATTGATGAAAAACATCAAACTACAGATTCAAAATTCCTTATAAGCACTAAACAGGATCAAAAGAAAACCACATGAAATCTACTGATAACCAAGGATGGAAAAAGCCTAAAGAAGCC